TTCCCTACAAAATGGTTGAGTTGGGCGGTGCTAGGGTTCGCAAAATGTTCGGAACGTGCACCGTCGATTGGAACTGGTCAGCTCCAGACTATATCTTTTTATTTTATTATCCTCAAGGTTATTTTCTTTTTCAGTCTTTCTGACAGGATATAGGTGTTGCATTGTTCTCACATAATCGAACCAATAAAACTATGTAACTAGAGAATTGTATTGTAAACCTGATTGAAAAAGAGTAACCTATGGAGTTTCTTGCTCGTTCTTCTCCATAGGAATCTACGCCTTGGAATGAGCAAATAGCTTCACTTATAAATTTTTGTTGTTTGACGTTCAAAAGTGCCATCCTGGTCTAATTGAAATAAATGATTTATACTTTGACTTTGACTTTGAATGAAAGTCACGTAAGTCGTTATTTTAATTTTAATTGCCTCAGACGTGAAATAAAAATGTTATTTGTAAAATAATAATTCGTTTAATATTATGTAGATGCGCAGTCTAAAAGAAAAATCCTAGACATGAGTTGGCTTTGAAATAAAACAAAATAACGATATAATACTTTAAGGGATAAAACATACAAGAACTTATTCCATCGAGCAAAACACTGGGCACAAAAATACTGAACTTAAGTTACTTTACTATTTTTATTGATATTACTTAGGCAAGCGTTATTTCACGTTGATTTTCTTTGAAACTATGGTATCACTCCGGTAGTGCAAGTCTATTTGTGTAAAACCACTTAAAATCCTTCACTTATTATTTTCTTTGTTCATAATTACTATTCTAAAATAGGTAGTATAAAAATAACTATCCCCAACGTTTTTATTTAGTTACAAAACAAGCTCCGTTATAAAGTACACTTTGAAGAAATAAAGTCACTAATTTATTGAAATAACATAAAAAGGTCAAGATGAAACAAACAGAACCGCCCACAATAACAAACCTAGTATTTTTGCAATAAGAAACTAAAGGATTCCCTCTTCTTTGAGCGATATTAATGTCCCAAAGATTTATTCTGATTCCTTTTTGTTCTCCACACGCTCGGCAAGATCCGCCATATTTGTTAAAATGTCGGAACGCAACAAATGTCAAGAATTAAATGCTCACTGGCTTGTAGAAATATGAATTTCTTATTTTTTATAAATGTATATCCAGTTTTCTGTTTCTTTGACTGTCATGTTTTTATTAAAAATGTTTGTTGGTGATTTTTATTATAAATTGTGGTATTGTTTTTTTGTGTATGCTCAGTTTTCGGGTACATATTTTTGTTAGTATTCATCTACTGCCTCGTTAAAAAGCAAATTTTTTTATATAATGTACTTTAATTTAGTTCTCGTTTAATTATATTTTTTGTAATTTAATTTGATTAATGCAATTGCTGTATGCCGTGTTAATCAATAAACAAATAAATAAATAAGTTTCAGTTTTTATTCTGTAAAGAGTTTTGTGATTGCGACATTCTTTTTTTATACTTGATATATGATGTTTGGCCACCATCTTGCCTAGTAATAAGCGATGATGTGGCCGACGATGGAGCACGTCTTTTGCCCAGTGTATGATAGCAGACCTACCCACTATTAAAGTTAATGAAAAAAATACAAAGATTGAATCAAAAATTTTAGACTTTAAGCATTATTACAAACTCTATTAATGAGACGTAAATAATATGACATAACTCACGGTGAAAAGCATCTAAGTGTTATTGTATCCGGAGATTAAAATGCCCGAAGGACCTGTATGTCATTTTATTATATTAAAAGTGAATGCAATGATTTAAAAAAATCCTTTAATCATATTTGCTTTAAGAGTAAAGGCATATATACTTCAAGAATGTTTTTAATAATTCGTTGTAATGAAAATGTGTTTTTATTAACTTTCAAGTGTTTGTGTTGACAAAATGTGCAATATCTAAAAAGTCTAAGATGTAGTACTTTCTGATTTATATTATTTTGAATGAGTTTGTTTACTCACTCTTTTTGCCCCTCTATTTATTTACAAAGATGTCATTTCAATCAAATTCAATTTATCTAAGTAGATACGTAGGTACTTATTGTAATATCTTGCATTTTTAATAACATGTATATATTATGCCTCACTGCTTCGACTGCCTCGACTGACTGCCTCGTTGGCCGAGTGTTCGCAAGTGCGATTGCCGGGCAAGAGGTCGCGGGTTCGATTCCCGGGTCGGGCAAAGTATTACTGGATTTTTAAAAAATGACAGTGATAGCACGGAGTCTGAAATTGTGCCCGGTATATGGCAATACAGCCCCTGTTACATGGGACTCATAACATAAAATAGAGAACAGTGCTGTATGGTACAGTGGCATTAAGTGCCGTAATGTGCACTGTGCCTACCCCTTCGGGGAAGAAAGGCGTGATGTTATGTTATGTATATATTACTAAAATTAATATTATATTGAAAACTAGATGTTATCCACGACTTCGTCCGCGTAGAATATGAATTTTAGGCCAAAATTTTTTTTGGTCTTATTTTCCAAATTAAAGTAGCCTATGTTGCTCCTTAGTATGTACACAAAGCACCGCAAATTAGTTTGCGGCGCTACACATCGACACTACTGTCATTTACACAGTGTACATGTGTGGGTAATTTCATATTACTGTGTATAAAAATATTCGTCCACCAAGTTTACATTGGTATTTTCATTCTAGTGTCGGTATACGTATTTTTATAATTTAATGCATAGGTAAGGTTAAAACTATTTACAATCATTGATATGACCCGACATTTTTACTGTCATTATCGTAGTGCTCGTGGTCGATTGGTTAATGAGCACGCTTTTATCGTCTTTCAAGGATCAATGATGTGGGTTCTATTCCAGCTAAAAGTTTATTTTATTTTATCTTGTTATTTTTCTTATTAATTTTATTTTTTGTTTTTTGTCATAAAATATAAATATCAGGCTATAACAGAAGCAAATGAGTTGGTAAATAAAACAATACTATTTTTTATTACAATTAATTTATTTATTATACAAATATGTTGTTTTATATTCAATATTTATATCTAATAATTAATTATATACCACATGTTAAGTTTAAAGTTCATTAAATCATAACATAAGATTTAGAACAATAAGATAGGAAAAAAAAGAAAAGATTTAATTGTTTCTAATTTCAAATTTCAAATAAAATTTCAAATATTTGATAAATTAATACTAAAACAACATGTGAATGCTGGAATCGATCCGGCGGCACATTACTTGACAATTGGAGGCGATAACCATTGCACCAAGCGCGCTGTAGATGAGATCATCGAAATATTGTATATCATTCAGTAACATAAAATTACAATGAGAAAGCACTATATTTATATGGGTATTGTGTAGCTCGATCGTTCATTATTTTTGGTTTCGATTTATTCAAAGTTTGTTATGAGTAATTTTATCTTTACCCTCGTTTTTATTTAAACTTATTTACTAAATTATTACGTATACCGACACAAAAATGATATTTAAATACCAAGATGTGTGTGATAGACGAATGTTCCTATACATATCTATTGATATGAAATTACCCACACATGTATATTGTGTAAATGATAGTTGTGTCGATGTGTAGCGCCGCTAACTAATTAGCGGTGCTTTGTGTACATAAGCTACCTGCCAATAAATAACATTACAGACAGACAGATACAAATAAAAATATTATTTTGGTATGTGTATCGTATGTATATTCATATGCACGAAGCAAAAACCGGTTATTTTAGCATTACAAACAGATACGACATCACATCTTCTTAGCAAAACTACACAGAAACTAAAGATCAACCTTTGAAGTAATGTTCTGTGGTAGTTTTATTCAAACCTAGATTTATACAGCCGTTCACACATCTAGATAACAAGTTATGAAAAACCAGTATAAACTGACAGTCGAGACTATGGAAGGATCACACAAAGCAAGATCATGATAAACTGGTTTTGTATAGTTTGGTGTGTAGCCGTGTATCACACGTTTTGCATTTTAAGGAAAAGTTGTAGACAATCCAAGTTGTTCCCAAGTTAAGTAGTTCAGCACCATGGTGCAGGTTTCATTGTTTTATAAGAACTTCATTTTGTATAGAAAAGACTTATTCCAAGTTTTCAAGTAGAAGAAAGTTAAGACTTCCACTATAGTCTTTATACTTTTTTAATGAATAAGAGGGAACGCATCGTAGTTTTTTTTTTGAGGGGGAAAATCATCCAGTGAGGCGGGAAGGAGTGTCAGACTCTTACTGACTAAAAACCACCCCGTTCCTACTTCTGTTCTTCAAGCCGGAGCCTTGGCAACCCGTTAGGCCTCGCGGCTTCGTATTGGGCATCAGCCCTGCAGCCCTATCTGTGGTGGTCTGATGGCTTTTTGAGGCACGCGCGAATTGCGACGCGCCGTACTCATACTCATGGGTCTGGTTCTGGTCGGGCGGTGAGCTACCCTTGCTTGCTGTCCGCAGAATCGAAGGCGTCATTAGCATCTATACAAAAAATAACCTAACGGGTTGCCGGGGCTCCGGCTCGAAGCAGGAGTAGGAACGGGGTGGTTTTTAGTCAGTAAGAGTCTGACACTCTCTCACCTCACCCAGGGTTGGAGAAAGCATTTGATGTTTAAAAAATAGACAAATGTGACAAGTGTAAGGGGTAGGAAAGGCTTACTAATATTTTTAGTCGAAATTAGTTACCTATCTCCTACCTTCATACAAAATTAATTTTGTAGGTACAAGTTTTTTATTTTCATAGTCATTCACATTATTTTCATTGGATTGGATTCATTATTGCTTATTTCGTTAGGACATTCGAAAAATATTGTCATAGAAGCAATTTTTATACATAAATAATATATACACTAAAATAAATAAAACTACTATACATAAATCATCATCATCAGCATCCAAAAGACAAACACTACTTTTTTTGTTTTAAAATATATTTTTTTTGTTTCAGATATCCCGATAAATGCACACAAGAAAACCAAAGCTAGAACAAAAGTGATGAAGTATTGGAGAAGCCACAAACATGGATACTATAGGAGCATTAACAACTAGCCGAACAAAATGGAGGCTGAACATTTTAATAACTTTATACATACTCCTTTTCACACAATGCAGAGGAGACACGAGTCATGATATAACCAAAACAGATATAAAATTAGATAATAATTTAGATTCTATCCACTGCCATAGCTGTTATAATAATAGTCCTACAGAATCCCATGTAGAAAAATTTGTTGATGTTGTAGATGATATCGTGGGACAACTGAACACATTCACTGATAAACATTTAAATTTAAATAAGACAGTAATATATTTAGAGAAGGCTGTCGAAGATATGCTTGATAGAGCACTAAGTAATGATAGATTTAAGATACTTGATGGAGTTGAAGTGAAGCCTGTTGGAGGTAATGATACTAAAATTGAGAAGAAAAGTGATGAAGCTAGAGCGTTGTTTAGTAAATATACTTATGAGTATAGAATGTATCAGAAGATAAAGGATTTTGTTAATACACATATTCTTTCGATCAACCTGCCGATGGCCGCTAAATGTGAGTATTGTTTTCTGATATACTGTTTTAGTTTTAAATGCTTCAATTATGGTTTAGGACAAAAGTTCCGCAGCTGCGTGTAACCGGTTACTGGTGCTTCGGTTCAGAACTGGAGTAAGAGCTGGTTGGTTTTTTTGGTCAATAAGAGTCTGACACTGTCTGACACTCAATCTCGCCTCACCTAAGACAGAAGAAGTCATTGGATGATTTGCCCCTCTTTAAAAAAGGGGTTCATCATCATCAGCCTGTATTCGTCCACTGCTGGACAAAAAGGGGTTAAAAATAAATAAAATACAACTGATATTACCTTCTCTCTTGTCCTTGGAGAATCCGAGCTGTCAAAGGATTTTCTCGCAACGTTTTATCTTCACGTGGCTTGGAATTTTTCATTTTCAAATACCGACACCCCAAAATTTACCATAGCCTTGTCTACCAATAAAAAAAACTCATCAGAACTACACTCCGAATATTAGATTAGAGAAAACCAAAATTAGACTTTATGACCATAACTATAATAGGGTAGATGACTTATTTTTATTTTAATATCCGTCTGGTAGATTATTTAAAAAATTAGACGCGTATTTTAATTTTTTACGGAAACGAATAGTGTCGATGATATATTAATTTGAAATGACGCGTGACGTCACTTCTATGCACATTTTATACGTAGGAATGACGTTTTATCCCCCACTCCTAAACTTTGATTCGTTATATCTAAGTATCATTTTATTATACAACAAAATAAAAAATACGTGTCTAATATTTTTTCATTACCAAACTGACGGACTAATTACATTTTTTTAATTTTGATACCCTGTCATCATCCCTATTACCACAATTAGACAAAACTAAAATTAGATCGTATGACCATAATAATATTACCACAATGATGTCAAATTAGATATCAGATGATAATATCACATTACATCAAAACGTGGTCAACCTGTGAGTGACATTGGTCGCTCTAATTCCGATGTAACAGAGCATGGAAACCGCAATAGGGGTCTAAAGTACCACAAACCCTTTCACGCCATTAATATCTATTGCTCTAATGTTATAAAGGGGTCTATTTAATTGAGTGTTCGGTTGATGAAGCTGTCAGTTAAATTTCAACTTTGTTCCAAGCTAACTAGGTCGACTATCTGTTGAGAAATTCAGTCCAAAGTTATTGAGATTCATTTCATTTACGGAATTCTTAATACTTACTAGTATCATAGTGTTTAGAATTGTGCCTGCATGCATGGCAAATAGAACCCTCTATTGAAAGCATAATATCGAAATTCATAATTATATTCAGTTTTCACAACTTATATTAGTTTCATATGGTTAATAGGGGGTGTTTATTTAACCATTCACCGTATACAATAGGGCTAAAAAACCTAAAAAGCTATTAAGACCGGACTTAGATAATGAAAATATATTAGACGTTTTATTTTATTTTGTAGTAGAAGGAAACAATACTTAGATTAAAATAATCAAAGTTTTGAAGTGGTAGCTAACTACGTCATTTCTGCGTATAGGTAGAACGGACCTAGGAGTGACGTCACAGGATATTTCAAATCAATATATCGTCGAAAGTATTTGTTTCCGTAAGAAAATATATACGTGCCTGATGTTTTAAAATATTTTTCCAGACAGACGTCACACTGATCACGCTATCATGATTGATTTCAATTTTGTTTTCGTTTTATTTTGTTATTGTCAGGAGAAGGTACTTATGACAGAAAAAAAAATCCTGTAAATCCTACGGAAACGAGAGAAGCCGGGATTGCTCGTACAAAATCACGAACAGAAGCTAGTTTAAAATAAATATTTGTCATAATTTTTATTAGAGGTAATATACATAGACACATTACTGTAAGGTGGTGCATCGGAGAGATTAGAGAAACAACTTTATTGTTTGAACTTACATTTAATACTGTTCTAAATATTAGATACAATCGGATATATATATTATGGATACACACTTAGATCTAGCAATGGACATGTATGCATACATACACACTGCATTACACCGGCGACACGTTAAATGTTAAAAGTTGTGTTACTATTTTTCTAAAGCATTAACCATTTGTTTTTCTTTTTCCAGCGTTCGGGTTAAACAAGTTCTTCATACCGATTTTAATAGGAGGACAAGTGTTAATAAAAACAATACTGTTTGCAATGTTCCTGCCTAGCATATTGGGAAGCTTCGGGAAGATGCTGAGCAAAGGTAAGCGCCTAATAATCACCATCATATTTTGTGGGAGAGCCATGTTTCGGCACGAATGGGCCGGCTCGACTGGAGTGATACCACGACCTCACAAAAAACCGACGTGAGAGAACGCTCGCGTTGTGTTTCGTCGTGTGAGTAAGGTTACTGGACGCCCAATTACCCACAATCTCCTCAACCCCTGAATCCCAACGATCCTCAAATTTCTAATTCCCAAAAGGCAATGCACCTGTGACTACTTTGGTATTGCGAGTGTCCATGGGCGGCACTGATTGCTTACCATCAGGTGATTCGTCTGCTCGTTTGCCTCCTATTCCATAAAAAAGGCCGGTAACGCACTTGTAACGCCTCTTGTGTTCCGGGTGTCTATGGGCGACGCTGATTGCTTTCCATCAAGTGATCCGTCTTAGCGCCTGCTTAAAACCTATATACACCTCTTTACTTATGAAATCATGGTGTAAATCCCTTAGTTAGCTCTCACCCGCGAGAAGAATAGGGGTAGTGACAAATATATTCATCTCACGGCGAAGCGCCTAATACCAGGCACTTAATATTACGTTAAGCTTTTTAGCTTAGAAACGTGTTACATTGAGAGTGAAGCGCATTAAAGTTAAGTTGCTTGGAAATTACTTGAATTATCTAAGAAATGAGGCAGGTCTTGACGTGGCATTAAAGATATCAATATATCTTTTTGTGTATAGAGGGTGTGATATGTCTAGCAAAGATTATTTGGAGAAGGAGGGGGGTAGTTTTTAGTCAGTAAAAGTCTGACACTCCCTCCCGCCTCATCCAGGCGGGAGCAGTCATTTGATGATTTTCCCCCCTAAAAAAAAACTCACATGAGTATACCGAGAATAGCTCTACTAGATTCGAGCCACAGAGGGGCTCTTCCTTAAGAGCAGCGTGCGTGTTCGCGGCAATCCTACTGACAGCGTAACCAATGGCTTGATTGACTACGCTGAATGACTAGATTATATTGCATTAGAATTGGTTGATAAAAATGTACTTAGCAACAGTTCTCCTACTCTTTGATAGGTTGTACAGAATTTCTTGCCACGGTTGCTTAATCACACGTGGGCCAAACAACTGATCACATGTTCAATCCCCGAGGAATAAAACAGTTTTCGGATTTAAAAAAATTCTTAGTATTGTTGCTATTGACAGTAATATGTTTCTAAACCTGTCTAGAAGTAGATATTCTCAACACCACCTCTGTCTACCCTTTTGAGAGAATAAAAGTCACATAGTCAAATTCATACAAAATACCAGGCGAGCATAAACTCCAGGCAGTAAAATGAAACCAGGTCACTAGGTATTGTACGTTCGCACAAAACCTGTCAAATGAAAAGCCATCATATTATTAAAACAGCGTCTATGTGATAATGTAATCCTGGTACCTCAGAGACCCATTGTATAGGCGTACATAACAAAACGTGCGACCCTAATTATTTTGTATGCAAATGACGACACCTGTGTTTTAGGAATAATTCTAAGTAAATAATATAGGTGGCTATACCTTTCGCTCATACTATTTTTTGTTTATACGGTTTAACTGTAAAATAAAGCCCCTCGATCAATTACGATCATAGTGGCAAGCCTAAATAGACTAACTCACTACACAGGAGATATTATAGTGCATAGGGGCGCTCTCTGTTCCTTCACTTTTTGATCAACATCAACCTAACCTAGTGCTGATGTCGCGGAGAACCTAACGGGTAACCGGGGCTCGGGCTCGACGTGCAGGAGAAGGAAGGGGGTGGTTTTAATCAGTAAGAGTCTGACACTCCCTGCCGCCTCATCCAGGCAGGAGCAGTTATTCGATGATTTTCCCCCCTTAAAAAAAACCTAGTGCTGAGAAATAATCTCTTCTCACACGGAGAAGGAATGAGTATTAATCAATACGAAGGCTCAAAGCGTGGCAATCCAAATTAGAAATATGTCCAAGTTTCCTCACAAAGTTTTCCTTCGCCGTATGTTTTAAACTAATCAATTGTATTCAGGTCTATCCACAATATCAGCATCGTCATCCCAAGCCAGTTATCCACCTGCTAATGTGGATGATCAGGTTGGATACAACTCGGACAACAAGGACTTCATGGGTTACGAGACCAGTCAAACTGGAACCTATGCTTACCCTCAGGATGGCATGTATGGAGCTGATGCTAATGACGTCAATGACCTGGGAAATGTTGATATGTCAAGGTAAGGATTTTTATAACAAACTGGCAATGTATGGATGTATGTGTGCGAAGTGAGGTCTTGCAACTAAATTCTGAAGCAGATAATATATCTTCAACTGATTGAGCAAGATTTTGAATACATGTTTAGTTTACATGACCATTAAACTGTCAAACACCGCGAGGACACCGGTGACCGCAAGCTATTGTTCTATAATTGTGTCTATAATGACGGAACTCAAAGAGTTAATGCATAGGTGTTGCAGTTTAGATTTTATGTCATTGAAATGATGTAAAAGCCAAATATTAAGCAATCAACAAACCAACATAAATATGTTAAAAAAAATACACTTAACTACTAGTCAATGAAGAAATGAGTTCAGTTTTCTGAAAAAATTAAAGTGTGGGTATTTTGTGCCTTAAGTTTTAGTCAATAGACACCTCAGCTTAAATCTATTAAGGCCCAGTAGGGCTGATACCTAATACGGGACCGCGGAAGACTTAACGGGTTGCCGGGGCTCCGGCTAGAAGAGCACGAGTAGGAACGGGATGGTTTTTAATCAGTAAGAGTCTGACACTCCCACTCTCCTAATCAAAGGCGGGAGATATCATTGGATGATTTACGTCCTTTAAAAAAATGTACTATTTATACCTACATACATTTTTACGATCTATTAATCTTGTGTCTTAAAATAAATCCAGGACCCCAGCTCTCTCCAGTTATACTTGCAACATTTTTATCGAAAACCCCAATCGTATTGGAAAATATATATTGAAATATTAACTTTATTATTGGTTTACATTCAGCCCAGTGATTTCGATGGGGGGGGAGAGGGATAATTCAATTATGTTCCCCAATTTGCACGCTACCAATAATAGTAAAATTTTATCAGAAATTGTTTTTTTATTATTCATTTGCACGCCCAATTTGCTGTATTCAAATATTTTTTCCATTTCAATGGTAAATTGAATTCATGCTAAGTTTCTGGGGATACTGAGAAATTCACTAACACGCGATTTTTGAACATATTTTTAGGTTACCAAGAATTATTACAATATGGCTGACTGTTAACCACAGTTTTAGCGGATTGGTGAAAAGCCTACACAACTCTTAACGTCTTCTTTCTCCAGAAACAACCATACCATCAAACCAATTAGTGACGACAAAAAAACATAAAAACATACCATCAAATCGAAGAGTGATAAAAATATTACTTTATTTTATGATAACTATGACATGCACTAAATCAGGGCTGTCCAAACTATATACTCTCGCGGGGTAATTAAAGTTCCTACAAAAGCTGAAAGGTCATAAAACTATTGTCAGTTGTGTAATGACGACAACAGACAAAACTTGTAGACAAAATCATACACTGAATTTTATTATTGTTGTTACACATACGATGAAGATGTTGAGATTAAAATGTATGTTGCGGGTCATATGAAAACAAGCTACGGGCCGCATGTGGCCCGCGGCTTGTCCACACTAATGCCGGAATACTTAAACGTTACTAAATTTTAAGTCGTGCTTAAATATTGTGACATCTCTGTCTATTACAAAGAATTTGTGGAGACAGAACTATACTTAAGCGCGACTAAAAATGGAGTAGCGTTTGAGTATTCCGACATATATCAACCGAAAATGTCATGAAATGAAAATGAAATGAAATATTGAGAAAAGCTCTACTAATTTCGAGTCACAGTGGGACTCTTCTTCATGAGCACCATACGCGAACGCAACGACGTCAGTTACGTAAGCTACACGACGTAGAACGAAACTAGTAAAGGTTTTCTTAATATATTTACCGATATTTTTAGTTAACAATTTACTTTGATGATATTAATAAAGACTTGCAAACTTTTGCTTATAACTTACTTTTGATTTCCAGGTTTGGAGTGGACGGACAAAAAACAGGGTTCCTACCTTCAAAGAACAGTTATTACAAGAATCAAATGAACACGGCTAATAATTATAAGGTAAGACATATTTATTCGAAACAAATTAATAATGAGGCAAAAAAAATTAAGTGGTCTTACTTAATTAATACTTCTAGTATTAAAAGAGGATTGTAGAAAGACTTAGGCTATTGCACTGTTGAAATAGAAAGAAACCTCAAAATACCTTAAACCTACTCTTGGGAACAAGGAAACAGCACCACTAGATTTTTTTTTTCATTTTATCGAAGCTTCTATAACTTTAGAAAAAAAAAACATTATTTCATTGCAATCATTTTATTGTAATCTCATTTTACATACATAACATCACGCCTTTTATCCCCAAAGGGGTAGGCAGAGGTGCATAATTATTACGGCACTTTATGCCACTGTGCAATAATAATGTAGTACCCACTTATCACTATTTATATTTATGTAATGAGTCCCATATAATAGGGGGAGAGCCTATTGTCATATACCGGGCTTATTTCCAGACTCCGTGGTAATACTGAGGTTTTTATAAAACCCAGTAATATTTTGTCTGACCCAGAAATCGAACCCACAACCACTCGTCCAACGAAATACGCTTAGGATAAAATACATAAGGATAAAAATTATCATCTAAAATCTTTATAAGTTTTAGACGAATTTCTATCTATATTTATATTTTTGAAGATTTAATTTCAAGATTTAACAATATGTGTCTGTCAAAATGAATATTTCCAGCTTTTACGACATCCGCGGAAACATGGATATGTTTTTAATAATAATAATAAATTCGTTTAATTGTTTCATACAAAAGAATATAAAATAAACCCACCAAAACTATTGTAGAACAGTTTCACAAAATGTATTCTGCATTGCAGTCACCACATAGAACTGCTCAACTGACTTAAAATACTTTTATTATTATTTCCAGGTGTTCCAAAAGATTCCAGCCTCCTCAATGATCCTGAGTAACTACGATCCGTTCTACTCCCCACTGTTGTCACGACTCGACGGCATATTTGCACGACTTGGTAAGATTTACTTTTTTTTATTACAAAAATTATTTAAAATGTGGTCACGAGCTCAGGCTCGCTTGGAACTCCTCTAGTTTTTTTATATATAACTAGCTTTTACCCGCGGCTTCGCTCGCGTCACAAAAGGATAAAAAGTAGCCTATGTGACATATACCAATACACACTGCACACAGCACCATCTATATCAATAATTTAGTTTCCCCTCGAGAATATCAATTTTTTACGGAATTAAAGTACCCTATTATTTAATCTAGACTTCTAACTTTACGTCTGCAAAAATTCAAAGCAATCGGTTTAGTAGTTACGGCGTGAAATCGGAACAAACAAACAAACTCACTTTCCGATTTATAATATTAGTAAGGATAGTAAGGATTATGTGAACTTGTGAACACTTTGGTACGAGCGCGGTGGTGTTGCAAGCATATATAGTATATTGAGAACTAACATTAGCTCAGCTCAGACATACGTATTCTTGAAAATACCCAAGTTACTACGGAGTCGAGCTACTTCTACACTGTAGTTGCCTAAAAAAAAAAATATTGTGGTAATTCGCCGTTCTATACTTCTAAAAACCTAATTTATGCTTCATCCTGATTCCAGGTTTGGCACCAGCAGAGAATTCAGTGGATGAAAACATCGAAGCTTGCAGAGAACAGCTGATCTGTTTGATGTACGCCAGCCCAGCCAAATTTGCGCCATACAGCAATCTGGTCTCTGCTCAACTTAGCAGGTATTGTACCATACAGCATCCATCCAATACATGTATTAATCCTACTAATATATTTTTTATGGAATATGCCGTAAACGAGCAGACGGATCACCTGATTGTAAGCAATCGGCGTCGCCCATGGACGCCTGGAACACCAGAAGCATTACAAGTGCGTTACCGGCCTTTTGGGGATTAGGAGTTTGAGGATTGTTGGGGGTTCGGGGATTGGGGAGATTGGGGAAGGGGGGAGGGAGCTGGGCCTCCGGTAACCTCACATACAGGACGAAACACAACGCAAGCGTTGGTTCACGTTGGTTTTCTGTGAGGCGGTGGTATCACTCCGGTCGAGCCGGTCCATTCGTGCCGAAGCATGGCTCTCCCACACACTAAATGCGAAAGTTTGTGAGCATGTATGGATGGATGTGGGGATGAATGTAATGTTTGTTGCTCTTTCACACAGAACTTATGAATGGACTTTGACGAAGCGTGGCGGAAAGATATAAACAAGAACGAAGGGTTACCGTGGCTCCGGCTCGAAGTGCAGGAGTAGGAACGGGGTGGTTTTTAGTCAGTGAGACTCTAACACTCCCTCCCGCCTCACTCAGGCGAGAGATGTCATTCAATGATTTTCCCCCCTTAAAAAATAGTCTGAAATTACACAAAGTAACTACTTTGTTACGCGAGCCAAGCTAGCACTGTATAATATTTTGACAGAAATAAAAAAAGGGATGACATGTTTGTGGTGGTTTATGTTGTGTTGGTGGGGAGGTTAAGGCACCCACATCTCATATTTGAGGATACGAATTTACATGGTGGAGCATACGGTGGCGGTGTGTCCTGCATGGGCTGAGTACCACCGTATCCTCAGGGATCAGGGATGTGAGGGGGTACGAATTTGAAACCTGACCAGTACCAATGTAAATTTTTGCGAGGTGCTATGTTCTTAGATATAGTTCCAGTTAAAATTTAAATGGACGTCTTTTCTTTTTTAAACTTTAAATAGGTACCATATCTAATTCTTTTCTTCAATGCAAGCCTCATATATTACCTGATAACTATAATAAAAATATACTTTTATATAATTTTATTCTGAAACTCCTGGTTCTTCGTATAATTGACAACACAGCTACGCACGAAGCTAAACTAAACCAGTATAAACTGGCCGTTCAATGTGCAGAAAAATCATTTAAAACGAGAGCATAATAAACTGGTATCGTGTAACTCGACGTGTCGCCGTGGGTACTTAGTAATTGCTATAGTTGTAAGTAAGTTTGGATCTTAACTTGCAGTAAATTGCTCCGTTCAGAGTCTCAGAAATCTAATTAAAAGATTATGCAGACTAAGTTTACCGTGTAATATAATGTAACTATACTATTATAGTTATATTGTTTTCAAGATGGTTTTAGTGCAACCGTGTAACTAATATTTGTCTGTGTGTAATTAGATACATGCCATGGTCATTGGCCGAGTGGGCGCAAGTGCGACTGCCGGGGCAAGGGGTCTCGGGTTCGATGCCCAGGTCGGGCAAATTATTACTGGGTTTTTAAAAATTCTCAGTAGTAGCACGGAGTCTGGAATTGTGTCCGATATAATAATATGGCAATAGGCTCACCCCCTATTACATGGGACTCATAACATAAATAGTGAAAAGTGGTTGTTACATTGTACGGTGGCATAGGGTGCACATTATGTTATGCCATGGTCATTAAATATTACGTACTATTTTTTGTAAGAGATCGCGTTGTGTAAAAAACCTCCCTAGACATCATTATAATATGTTTTAGTCAATTTCTTCTCATATTATATAATGTTAATAATAAGAATATAGTTAATGTTAATTTTAAATATAGTTTGAACTTTAATTAAAAACAAGATTTGTAATTACAAAAATATATTATTTTCTTCCTCAGAGAACTGAACGAGCTCCGAAGGCCAGTTTCGGACAATCCTGAGATTCTGCGCTTCTTTAAATATATGAAGGCAGCGAGACGAGGGCAGGAGACATCAGACTGTATGTACGCCTACCCGACGTGTACTGCCAACGCTCCAAAGACGCATACTATGATAGCAGCCTACCACGACATCAATAAATTAGTCACTGCTAGAAAACTACACAAGTAAACGAAAAAAATAAAGACTATATCACTCTTAAGTCGAGAAGTCGAGTTTGTTTTGTGTTAACGTGATCGAGATGTTTATGACGTTCAGCGCTCTGATTGGCCTGCTCCTAATTAATCAACCAATCAAAGTGCTAAACGCAGTAACGTGTCGATCGAGTTACCGTAAAACAAATACGCACTAAGCATTTTGAAAAAACAACAACCAATCAAGTGATTCTTTATGTTTCTATATGTTAATTATGATTAGGAAATTCCACGTGGATATTTATTTTAATACCTTAACCGCTGAGTGAAAATAGTTTATGGCAAATTCTTTGCTAATATCTGTTCACTTCTAGTGACGCATGTGTCAGTGTGTGCAAATCACAACAAAATGCAAGACTATTATAATTTGTAAACTATACGTCTCAAAGGCGTGGTTGAACTATTTAATTGTGAAAAGTGTTTTAAACTAGGAACTTATAATTATACCGCGTTTAGCCATGTTTGTATTATTTGTAAAAAATGTAAACTTATTATTTATTATTTTATTTATAAGTCATTATTGTCGTATGTCATATACAAAAGGTTTTGAGGTTGGAATTCATAATTTAACTTATTTTCGTATTATAACTATCGTGAGATATAATCAACTTGGTAACTATCGTTTACGACTTACTCAAATAACAATTTCGACAAAGCTCGACCATATTCAAACCTCACTAGGAGCTCAAAGTCATGAGCTGCATTGCGCGACAAACAAAATGATGATGTACATACATACATATACATAACCTCACGCCTGTCTCCCATGGGGGTAAACAGAGACTATGCCACGCCAATTGCTACGATTCTTACATACCTCTTTAACTTCATCATCAATATTTTATGCATACAGGATGATGAGTTTGTGAGTAAAACACAACTATAGATAATTTAAGCCAAGAATACACTAGGGGCAAACGACACGTTGGGCGAAGTAGCGCGACGTTGCCGGACTTTGGCCGACATGTCTGTCAACATCAACGTCGCTGTGGACATAAGGCGAACGTTGTTGCCATACTAATATATATTATGTCAGGTGAAGTCGGCCGACTTCGCTTGCCATATCGCCGAAACATGTTGTGGAACATTTGTCTCCCTAGTGTATTCTTGGCTTTATTGTTTCATAAATGAATAAACCAATATTATGTAAATATAAACAACATAAAGTTGTATTTAATTAAAGAAAAACACTCTTAATTTAATTATACCTTCAGTAATTACTTAAAAGTTGAAGAATGTTTACCGTAAGTACTTTCAATGTGGCGGGAGATACTTCTGAACTTGATACATGTATCTTTGTTTTCGAAACTCCGGACAAAATGTGTTCTCGAGGAATAATTTTGACTAAAGTGAGGTATCTTCGCAATGATGTGGCTTTTGAGACGATTTAAAAGTTTCGAAATTTCGCTTTTTTTTTGGCATAAACCGGTAAACGAGCAGATAACCTGATGGTAAGCAATCGGCGTCGCCCATGAACACCTAGAACACCAGAGGCGTTACAAGTGCGTTACCGGCTTTGGGGGATTAGGAGTTTAAGGATCGTTGGGGATTCAGGGATTGGGGAGATTGGGGAAGGGAAGGGTAATTGGGCCTCCGGTAACCTCGCTCACACGACGAAATACAACGCAAGCGTTGCTTCACGTCGGTTTTCTGTCAGGCCGTGGTATCACTCCGGTCGAGCCGGCTCATTCGTGCCGAAGCATAGCTCTTCCACACTCCTACGCTTCTAATGAGGATTTAATCCTTGAATTTTTGGGACTTTTCGACTCTCGAAATTCTTTGTCACAAACAGAATGACATTCATCTCTAAAACTCTGAACAGCATGTCCCTGTTACAAGAGATACTCGCAGAAATCAGTTCTAAGTGCCAAGCACGAATAACTATCGCATTTGTATCGTAACAGTATCGAGCGAGTTAAGCGTTCTGATTGGTTGGTTCACTTGAGCCGGCCATTCAGAGCGCCGAATGCGCTCGATACTATTACGTTACGAATGCGATAGTTATTCGTACTTGGCACTTTGAAGACAAAAAAGGTGGACGTAATGTTACTTAGAATTGATTGAAGCACCAAACTGTCAGTGGTGTATTCATGTGTGCGTGTACTTGCAACACCGTAATACGGTGTAATGACGGGCCGTGTCACGCGACAGATGTCCTTCGTGTCAATGTGTGTGTATTCTGCGTGTAAGTCTATAGTAGCCAGGTGCCACAGTCGTTGTTTCAAGGGACTATGTTTGCCGTTTTTTTAACGTCATTTGTCATAAAGTAATAAAGAGAACTTTGTTGATTATAATATTTTTGTTTGTTAAACACAATTTGTGTTTGTTACTTAAATTGTTATGGTAGTAATTTTAAAAAAATGCATTTTTAAATAACTGATTATTTATTTATGAACTTTTAAGTAATTTATTTATTTATGGTATGAATGTAATTTATTGGAATGATTGTCGTGTGCCTTAATTGGTTATTTTTAATTTATTGATTTTAAAAATATGTAAATTTATAAACAGTATATCTGTTTATACCACCGTAATCTATTTAAGAAGTCTTTCTTAGTATTGTAGATCAAAGATTTCTTCAATAATTATACCTTAATAATAATAAAATCTTCATTAACCCACTTTTGTAAATTAAGTTTATTTATTTAATAATGTTGTAATTTTAATTCATTACTAACAAATAATCTTGAAACTCTAATATGCGCATACACATCGAACATTTCAAATCTAGCCAATCACAACGCTAGTATTTTCAAAATGGCCGCTCGTACGATGATGCACATATTACAGAACTTAAACGCTATAGACTTTGAAGTTGGTGTACTGAACGAAAATACCTTATATATTTTAATAAAACAAATTAATAAAAATATATGAGGCATTTTTATTTCATTTCAAAAACATTTATTACTACCTACTACTACTATTTAAAAAATATTGTTATTTTATTATGAAAGTAGGAATAATAATACTTTTCTCGGATTTGTACATTATTAATAAAATGTATTAATGAGAATAAATGTCTACTCGTCACTTTTACATGGAAAATGGTGAGAATTGTATGTAGGTACCTATAACCTAGGTATTTTATACAATTTAAGTTTAACTTAATTATGTACAGTGGCCAGCAGATCAAGCTACTCCAATCTGTTAAATTTATTCATTTGATTTTCGACTTAATCGTCAATACAATAAAGTTGAAGATGTTAGACAGAAAAGGATAGGATGACCTGCTGGTCACGGTACCTACCTACCTATGTTTGTGTTGAAATGGTGTTGTGTTTACTATTTATTGTTATAGTCATAATCAAATAAATTGTAGATTGAAAATAAATATTGTTGATCATAAATGTTGTGTGTAATTTAGCCTGACCGGGGAATAGAAATCGAAATCCCTTAAACGAGGCCGTCATAATCGGAAGTTGCTGTAAGTATACTTCTCCTTACTTCTATTATGAGTTCTAAAGACAGTCTCCCAGTTCACTACTGCACAAGAAGAAAGTAGATAGGTATGCAAGTCTTGAAGAACTTCAAGAATCTGCCTTAATCTACACGCTTTACTACTGGGTTGAACATTGCAATTCAAATGGTTTAGGATAATCACAGACACGCTCCTGCCCGATCTTTTTTCAAGTGACTTACCCAAATAACATAACATAACATCACGCCTTTTATCCCCGAAGGGGTAGGCAGAGGTGCACACAGAAGTAACACCCACTTTTCACTATTTATGTCATGAGTCCCATGTAATATGTTGTGAGCCTATTGCCATATACCGGGCACATTTCCAGACTCCGTGCTACTACTGAGATTTAAAAAAAAACCCAGTAATACTTTGCCCGACCCGGGAATCGAACCCGAGACCCCTTGCTCGGCAGTCACACTTGCGACCACTCGGCCAACGAGGCAGTCCAAATACAAGGGGTAATAAGTGCGCTAACGGCCTTTAGGGGATTAAACATTCATTAGAATTAAACATCATTCACAGTCAAACATAACGCAAGCGTTGTTTCACGCCGCTATTTTATAAGGACATGGTATCACTCCGGTCGAGCGGCCGACTCGTGCCGCAGCATGGCTCTCCGACACTTAAATTAGTAACTCAAAATGCACAAGCTTACTGATTAAATCGTAACTTAATCCTAAATGATTACTTAAGAGGAAAGGGGGCTCTTTCCGTAATTCCAGGAATAATTAAAAGGTCCCATAAATGTGTGATGAAGGCAATAATTTCCGGATTATGATATACCTATTCGCAGAAGCCTGAAAAGACTGTAATTAACGTTCAGGATTAACTTTAAAATATGAACATTTCAGTGAGAACATATTCGGAGTACTTACCATAATACGTTGTTGATCGAAATTTTAATTTTAATTAAATATCTAAGTAGTTTTTGTATGTCTTTTTTCTAAGAGTATTAGGCAATGGTTGTGTTTAAATGTTATGTTCTACATAACATAACATACATAACATACTGAAACTATTTATTATAACCGTGTTTTTAACATTTTTAACCATTGGCCCGAAATTTTCTCTTACATTGAACCTTTATAACTTCTGTGGCATGCCCCCGAGAAATGGCACGGCTTCAAAACTACACCTTGTATATCACAATCACAATAAATACGAAAAAAGACTCGTACACAGATAATTTAAATTAGTGAAATATTTTAATAAGATTTATCTTTCTTAATACATTTCGTTCACCACAACAACGAAACAATAGACACTGAATAATTGTTAAAATTAATAATAGTTGACCCTTGGATGAAACAGGGCTGAATGTTCATCCCTTCAATACGAAAACAAACATGGCTGAATTTAATAATATCTTATTCAAATATTACCTTCATACAACACTATACTGATATAATTTAATAAATACTACAGACCTTTGTATGTAAGTCAATTTGTATTAATGTTATTATACTGGTAAAGATTCTGGTTGTCTGTTTGTTTCAGTGATATCTTAATTC